GTTTTTTTTTTTTTTTTTTTTTTTTTTTTTTTTTTTTTTTAAGTTCAAGGTAAGGAAAAACTCTGGGTCGTCTAGCAAAGTGTAGCAAGGATAAATACCTAGATAGAGAGAAACACTGCAATCTTCCTTACACTCGGAATAAACCTTAGAAATCGTACATGTAGATAACGAGCTTTGGGGCCACCAAAAGGGGCATCTCCTTTGACATGTTCTTCTAGAGATGGCAGCTAAGTAAACAATACAGTTCCTGCACTTGTGCATTTGCTATATGTTTTGACAGTAAATCAAGTATTTGGTACAATTTAAATAAATTACAGTCCAGTGGAACGAATGTTACAGATTGCTTTAAAGTGTTCTGTGACATTAAATTATATGTACATAGTGTGATTTTTCCCATGCGAGGCCATGAACTCCCTTTGTTGCTCAGAGATTTCTGTTTTTGTTTTGTTTTCTTTATTGGTTTTGCTGACAATAACTTTCAGTTCAGAGTTCTAGTATACTCACAGTACACAGGTTACAAAGGGACTATACGTTGATTAATAACCTGCAATGCTGCCGTGTGTGTGTGTGTGTGTGTGTGTTTTCAATCCACATCTCCCAAAAAATAATGAATCCCATTATGAAAGTCAGTCAAGTGCTGAATATAAACCCTACAAGTGAACTTACTGAGAAGCAGTGAGAGGAAGATCAGCCCTGGCTTGTGTTTCATACTGTGTGTTTTAATTAATGAAGTTCTACTGTTGATAATGACTTTTCTTGAAATGCAGGTGAAGATGCTTTTGATGCCCTTCCCCCATCCCTCCCTCCACCCCCACCTCCTGCAAGACACAGTCTCATTGAACATTCTAAACCTCTAGGCTCCAGTAGCCGGCCTTCCTCAGGACAGGACCTCTTCCTTCTTCCTTCAGGTAGGAGTGGGTGAAAAACCAAAGAAGAGTTTTCTCTTAGAGAAAAGTGTGTCTAATATCATGCTGTCAAATTCTCGTTAGTTTGTCCTGAGTGTCTGCCACACTAGCAGAAAGACTTCTGGGTAGTGGGAGCAGTGTTTGGCTGCGTTGCTTGACACCAGATTGATTTAGTGACAGAACATTCCAAAGACTGCAAGAAGAATAAGGAAGCATAGTGGTTGCCCATGCCCTGTGAAGGACTCAACACCCATGTGCACATGGGTAACACCAATTGAATGGGTTATTTAATATTTAAAAAAAAAAAGATGTAAAATTGGACTGGAGATATGTTGGTGGTATAGACAGTTGAAGGTTGATGAAAGGGAGTTGGGACTGGGTTTTATATTGTACATGGTATACGTGTAGGAAATTGTTGAAGAAAAAGAAAGAAAAGAAGGGAAGGACAGTGGGAGCATGCTTTGCATGATATATGAAGAAAGTGATACCTTCCGGTGCCAGTGGAGTCCCTGAATGACATTGACTTCATGATTTGAATAGGAGAGGCACTGAAACACAGATAACAACATGACTGGCCAATAGGAGAGCACAGACTTTAGGTTCTCAGTGCCCTATTTCCAATGGAATATTTTCCTAATAGTGGACTTTAAATATTTTCAAGATGTGCTTTCATGTCCTGATTTTATTCAAAACACACGGTTTTAGATCTTAACAAGATAACTCTTCTAAATTTTTATATGGTGTTAAACTAGTTTTAAATATTTAATTTGTATTCAAATTTGTTTTCTTTTAATACATAGTTCTGGAGAGCAGCACAGTTATAAAAAGGAAGAGACTAAAGGAAACTCACTACTTGTATTGAGCAGCATTAGCAGACAAAGAAAAACACATGGTAGCATGCTATTGTGGTCAGCATCTGTAGTGTCTCCAGTCTGTCCGGGTGGAGGTGTGTGGTCTGCATGCCTTGAAAGGGCCCCCTCTGGACGTGCTTTAGTAGAGCAGTCTTACTGGACCGGGTGGTACATGCCAGTACTCCCCGCAGTTGGAAGGTTAAGTCATGGGGGCTATGAGTTTGAGGCTGTCCTGGACTACAATGGGAGACCTTGCCTCAAAAATAAAAAAGTAAGATAAAATTCTTCTTCATAATGTTTTCTGTACATTTCCATATAAGGTAAATCAGGAGAAATTTTCCGATTGTCCTTTGCTTCCTCCGTACTTTGGTGAAAGCCTAGGCAGCGATTAGTCTACTTCAGCAGTCGTCCTCTCTCTCCCTTCCTCGCTTCCTCCTGCTCTGTTCCTCTCTCTTTTCTTTCTCATGTGATTTGGCAATGAACAAGTCTCATGTGATTCATGAAGCAGAAACTATGATCACATAATAATACATGCCGTGTTATGTTTCAAGTGGCTGAATACCGAAAGAGTGATTTCCAGCTCAGATTTTCAGTGCCAGTAGCTGTCTTATCTAGTATATGGTGCACTATTAACACTGTCTGCCTTCATGCTGCCCATGGTTTCCCAGGATACTGCCTACAATCAAGTGTTCTAAGCAAAAAGTAAGACAAGCATGTAGTTACAATTCTCGGATGCTGAGGTTTTGACAGTTTCTGGTGGATTCCTCCTGTACAACTGTTTTATTCATGGCTCATGAAGCATTTGTACAGAAGTTTCTCTTACAACAAAGTCAGGATTCCAAGAGCTAGCAAGAAATATTTTGTTAGATTTTTCAAAATGTCTAATCATTTTCTAAAGAATACAGTGATTACTAATGCTAGTTCTTCCCTCTAATAAAACTTCATGAAAGACTTGTTTACTAGAGCACAGTTCAGTTACACCTTTTAGACTCGTAAAGCTAAACAGAGGCGGCTGCCCAACTCACTATTCCAGTGGTTACTACTGAGGTCTCACTGCTGCCCAGTGCATGTTCTTAATTAATGTACATACAAACTGCTCTGCAGTGTTGAGATTTGAGTTCCTTGAGAAAATATCCCAACTTAAAGACAGGATAGACATATTACAAAAAGATACTACATTTTCTCAAAACCTTGTATTAAACCCCTGTCTCCTCATGCTAGCCTTCTATGCCCTGCACAACAGAGTCAGGTGCAGTGTGCCAGCCTTAGCACCCAGAGACTTCTCTGGAGATCAGTTTTCAGCTTGCAGTGCTGCCTTTCTGCAAAGAAGCCTCTTGACTCCGGTCAGACAGAGGAAGGGGAGCCATGCAGAGACTCAGCTCCAGTCTTCCTTTGTGTTTCGCATCTTGGGCTTTCACACAAGATTTCTTTTGGCAAAATTATAATTCCCACTACGGTGCATGAGCCATGCTTTATGGACAAGCCAATCAAACCTTAACAAAATGAGAGTCCTCGACAAAAGCTCCATGATTTCCTGTCCCCAAAACCAAGGCAACTGCTGGCACACATGCCTTTTTCTCTGTGCAACAAAGAGAGAGAGAAAGGCAGCATTCCTTTGTGTGGGAAGGTTGAAATAGGCAACTCTGTACTTTGTGCCAGGGCCTGCGCTAAAGCAACAAAGGGAGGACAACACTCAAGTCTTGATCGCACCCTGCATGGATGTCTTTGTGAAGGGCACGGGATGGAACCGTGGGTTTGGCCGCCTTGTTTCACCCTTCTCTCACTTTTCCTCTAACCTAGAATCTCCTTTGAAGTCCATATCCAATCTTAAAGTCACAGTTCACTTTTTAAATCTAGTGAGGTTATTAAAGATAAGTAGTATTTTTAACTCTGAGACATGGATGTTCATCTGCTTAAATAAAACTCAAAGAAATGCCATGTGCTTGGCAACAGCCTCGGAAAAGGACTTGGTGGGTATTATGTATTTAACCCTATTTAAGCATTGTCATGGTGGGGCTAATCAGACAGCTCATGCCATGTGGGAGGTTGCCAGAGGAGTCAGATGAATAAAGTCGGTTACAATGTCCTTCACCTGTGGAGGCCGCCATGTTCGTAGATGAGACATTCAGGGGCAACAGCAGCACTCTAACCTTAAACTCTCTGTATAGCCCAGCAGCTTCTGGAGATTTGCTGTAAGAGGTCAGGCGGGACCTCCCTGCCCTGGTAATCAGAGTCAGTACTATATTGCTTCTTAGCAAATTGATCATATTGTGTATGTGACATCTCCCCCCCAAAAAAATATGAGTGTATAATTACACACCAGCTGCAGCATTTTCAGTTTGTATGTTTTAATAAGAAATATGGATATTAGCCTTACATAGTTTTCAAAGAATTTAATTCTGCAAAGCTTTATTGATTTTCAAATTTTCCTTATCAGAGGACAGCTAGTAATTATAACACTATCTGTGGTAATTATTCTACATAGTACCATTCCCTTTGAAACATTAGCTCTAATTCCGTAGCTTTCAGCAGGCATCCCTCTTCTCCTTGTCCCTACCAGGAGGAATTTAACTTGAAGCAGGGTAGAACATGTCATGATGGACAGATCCTAAGTGGTTTTGCTGTTGGTTTTAACAACTTAATGTATCGAGTCCCTTTTTAGGTAAAATGGTTTAATAGAAAAACATTTTTAAACTACAGTTGTATATTTTGTAATCGATTTATAACGCCAAAATATATTCAGGTTTTAACTTTATAAGTTTGTAGTAATTGTCCAGAAATAATGTAGACATGTCCAGCAAGCCTGTGAGTTGGCTCTACAGTAACAAACAAGTGTAGATCCTGTGAAGGCATGATAAAGCACCAGAACAAGTTCTCCAGAAGAGTAAATGAAATAATAATTAGTTGATGGCTTTAAGTAGTACTTACCTACTCTAGTTAGAAATTAGTATAAAAATGGGCAAGTTTGAAAACATGTGAATTCTTCTTAAATAATCAAATTCTATATATTACTCTTGCCAATTTCAAATGAATATCCAATGAATTAAACTGTAGCCTTACTGTATATATTTATAGTCTGTCTTTCTTTGTGGTAAGTCTGCATCTGCATGGATTTATTTATAGCAGTTAAAATATTTATTGAGAACAAGAAGGAAGGAAGGAAGGAAGGAAGGAAGGAAGGAAGGAAGGAAGGAAGGAAAAGAAAGAGTGGGATGGGAGGGAGGGAGGGAGGGAGGAAGGAAGGAAGGAAGGAAGGAAGGAAGGAAGGAAGGAAGGAAGAAAGGAAGGAAGGAGAAGGAGAAAATAATGACATGAGGAAAACCTGAGTGTTGAGATGATGGCTGCAGAGAGGGTACCAGCAGAAAAAAAATAACATGTGGAAAACCTGAGGGTAGAGGTGTTGGATGCAAATTATTAGTGAGCCAAAATATCAGATCGTGTTCTTCTGTTCAGAAAAGAGTGTGTGCACAAAGGCTTTAAGCCCATCTACTGCTGATTTTAAAGCACTCGGGCATGTGATCCTAGTGCCTTCTGTCACACAGAACTCTGTTATGTATAGTAAAAGGATTTTTCAGTCAACAATTCATGTTTCAAAATTTTACATGGCAGAACTTTAAACAGCACACTTGTACTGTGTATTCAAACTCTCTTTTTAGTAATGGTGTGGTTTTTGGCAACTCAATTTACTGGGTCTTAACATATTTTGGAACGTCCAATATAGTGCAATGAATATAAAAAAAATTACATTTGCAGATTATTGTACATTCATTATAGCAATTCCAATCTCAGGTCTGTTTACACATCGATTTGACATACAGCTTAAGGAGCGTAAGTGAGCCAACAGTACCCTGAGGCAAAGTGAATAATGGCATCTTTTCATGCTTCCTTCCCAGCAGCTTTCATTGAAACTCATAGCCGGGATAGAAATTTAAGTTAAAAGGAGGCTAAATAAGTGTTATGAAAAGATAAATACAAATCTAGTCTTAATTTTCATAGTAAAGGGAATAACTTACTGAACAAATGAATGCTTTAGAAAACTGCACAGTCAAGTGGTTATTATTGCTCATGAAATTAGCTGTCCAATTGATTATCAAAATCTATAGTCCTTAGAAAGTTTCCGGAATCCTTTTCAGCCAACCAGCAGGGAGCATCCTTGTAATTAACGAATTATTTTTATTTTCAAGATCCCTTTTTTGACCCAGCAAGTAGCCAAGTTCCATTGCCTCCTGCCAGAAGAGCGCCAGGAGACAGTGTCAAATCCAACAGAGCCTCCCAGGACTATGACCAGCTCCCTTCTTCATCCGGTAAGTTGGCTGAGAACAGTTAACAATAATGTTCCAGGTTTATTCAGTGACTTTGCCTCTGTAGCCTTTGTCTTTAGTTTATTGCACTACACCTAAGCATTCACTTATTTTTAGTGCCCTTTGTATTTGGCTTATAAGGTGCACATAATAAACTCAACTTTCAGAAAACTGCCTCGGAGAAAGAAAAACGAGGCTTAATATTTTGTGTGAACAGTCAGTAAGCCAACAGTCTTTGTTTGGGGATCTTTTTTTTTCTTTTAACTTCCATTTTTGTCTCATCGGGTTTAAGAAATCCGGAAAATCTCTTGTACATCTGCCCATACTGCCTGTGTTCTTTTGTTTGACGTTAATATTAGACCCAAACCAATGTTACTGTTAATTGTTTGTTGTGGAGTTTTTGTTTGTTGCTGCTGCTGCTGTTGGTTGGTTGGTTGGTTGGTTGGTTGGCATTAGTTTGGGTTTTGAGACAGGGTCTCATGTAGACAGAAATTCTTCCTAACACTTGTCATTACCCCAGACTTCATCGTTCATTCATTTGCTTGACTCATTTGTCTGTCTCTTCTGCTAGTGTTTTAACACTGAAGTGAGAAATGTCACGTCAGGTTGCTGGAATGAATACCACAGGCTAGATGCTAATCAACATTCATTTCTTACATTCTGGGGCTGAGAATGCCAAGAAAACATGCCAGGCATTTGGTATCTGATTAGAACCTGCTTCCTTCTTCATAGGTGCCCATTTTCCTACTCAGGCATGGTAAAGAGCTATACCTTTTTATATGGATATTAATCCTTCCCTGAGAGTTCCATCCACATAGCTTAGCCACCACAAAGGCCATGTCACTAAAGAACATGAGCAAGAGCAAGATAGAGGGCCATATCACTGTAACCCCAGCACTCAGAAGCTGAAGCAGGAGCCTTCCAATGTGTTTAGCAACAAGCTGAGATACATAGTGGCATAGTAAAGCCAAGACCGATGTGGCCTACATAGGGAAATCCTGTCTCCAAAGAAACCATTTAAAGTGAGACACAGTGAGACCACAGTTATCAAAGATGCCCAGCATACACAAGTATATAGATCGGGACAAGGAAGAGATGCTTGATAACCAATACCTTTTTGTTTGTTTGTTTGTTTGTTTGTTTTTATTATTTACAGTTTATTCACTTTGTTTTCTAACTGTAGCTCTGGCCCTCATCCCCACCCAAATCCCACCCTCCCTCCCTTTTCTCCACCTATGCTGCTCCCCTAATCTACTGATAGGGGAGGAGGACCTCCCCTTCCCTCTGATCCTATGTTATCAGGTCTCATCTGCATTGTCCTCTGTGGCCTAGTAAAGCTGGTTCCCTCATCAGGGAGAGGTGATCAAAGAGCCAGCCACTGAGTTCATGTCAGAGACAGTCCCTGGTCCTATTACTAGGGAACCCACTTGGACCTGCCATGGGCTACGTCTGTTCAGGGGTTCAAGGTTATCTCCATGTATGGTCCTTTCTTGGAGTATCAGTCTCAGAAAAGACCCCTGTGCCCAGTTTCTCTCTCTCTCTCTCTCTCTTTCTCTCTCTCTCTCTCTCTCTCTCTCTCTCTCCTTGTTGGAGCACCTGTCCTATCTCTTGCTTCTTTCAATGCTTCTGAAAAGCCAAGGACACTGTTGTCAGAACAAAATGTCAGTCTACAAACTGGGAAAGGATCTTCACCAACCCTATATCTGACAGAGGGCTAATATCCAGAAGATATAAAGAAATCAGGGAGCTAAACAGCAACAAATCAAGTAATCCAATTAAAAAATGGGGTACAGAGCTAAAGAGATAATTTTCAATAGAGGAATATCGAATGGCAGAGAAACACTTAAAGAGGTGTTCAGTGTCCTTAGCCATCAGAGAGATGCAAATCAAAACAACCCTGAGATTTCACCTTACACCCATCAGAATGGCTAAGATAAAAAACTCAAGTGACGACGAATGCTGGAAAAGATGTGGAAAAGGGGGAAGACTTCTCTGTTGCTGTGGGAATGTAAACTTTTACAACCACTTTGGGAATCAATCTGGCATTTTCTCAGACAATTAGGAATAATGCTACCTCAAGATCCAGCTATACTACTCCTAGGCATATAAACTAAAATATGCTCAAGTATACAACAAGGACATTTGCTCAACCATGTTCATAGCAGCTTTATTCATAATAGCCAGAATCTGGAAACATCCCAGATGTCCCTCAGTTGAGGAATAGAAACAGAAATTGTGGTACATTTATACAATGGAATACTACTCAGCAATTAAAAATAAGGAAATCATGAAATTTGCAGGCAAATGGTGTTAACTAGAAAAGATCATCCTGAGTGAAGTATACCAGAAGAAGAAAGACAGACATGGTATATACTCACTCATAAGTGGATATTATACATATAATATAGGATAATCATAATAAAATCTGTACACCTAAAGAAGCTAAGCAAGGAGGACCCTGGGTAAGATGATTAATCCTCATTCAGAAAGACAAATGGAAATGGGATGGACATTGGAAGAGGGAGAAAACAGGGAACAGGATAGGGGCCTACCACAGAGGGCCTCTGAAAGGCTCTACCCTGCAAGGTATCAAAGCAGAGGCTGAGACTCATAGCCAAACTTTGGGCAGAGTGCAGGGAATCTCATAAAAAAACCAGTACCTTTTTTAGGCTGGATACATGGATCCATGAGCAACATATTTGGTTCCTCTTTGTAAACATCAGCAGTTTTAAACACTACAGATTTTGTTTGGTTTCAGGATTTTCAGTTTTTATTCTTAAACTTCAGTGAGTTCACAGAAGATTTGTTACATGTACAAGTCACACACCTGGAACTCTCTGAATAAAGGTTGTTAAGCTGCTGTGAGGGTTATCAGCAGTGTCATTCCTCCGCGGTGCCATGTAGGAAATGCAGAATTCTCTCCAAACCCTTAAAGGTATAACACTTTTATATGACCTGGGAGAGAACAGAAAACCTTCGTATCCATTTCAAGTTTTGCTCCATGTCTGTCAGTTCACATCTAGCCAATCAGAGCTTGTGGATCTGTTCATGAAGACTGTAGTTGCAAGTAAAACACAGACTGACAAAGCACGTAAATCAAGGAGTGAAAATATCTACCAGCCTCGTATGTCATAAGAAAACAAAGCCATTACTGAAATAATGTTAAAATACACCTTTGGCAAAAGCACCATGTCTGACTTGAAGTAATATGTTCAGCACTTTCAACTCTAGGTTAAAATAAAAGTACTCACTTAGTGAGTGGAGTTATCGGCAGTCAGTTCTCACACCACCCTCTGTGTTGGCTCTGTATCATGTGGGTGTTGAAGAGCCACGAGCATTACTCATGTTCAGGATTTCAAGTGGTATGGATTAGGGTCAGCATTACAATAGAAATCTTAAGAGTGCTTCGAGTAGCAAACACAGAAACATCCAGGTAACAGGACTAAACTAGTTTTTCCCGAAGAAATAAAAGAATACCAAGGGCCAAAGCCAGCTGTAACATGCAATAGTTCATCCTACCTCTTAAACATTTACAAACACTAGCAGAGCATGGAACCGTGTCCTGTGTTTCTGACTTGTGTTTGTCAGCAAGCAGCCTGCTGTTTCTGCATACATGCACATCTGAACTTGCCTCTGGATTAGCTGTTCTCATTCAAATTCTGACCTGGATAGTGTGTCCCTTCACAGTCTCTTCTTAGCAAACCCCCTTTTAGATAACCTAACAAGGATTCTGGGGTAGTTGCTAACTCTGAAAACAAACAAACAAAAAATTATCATCTTTCAGAGCTATATAAATAACTGATAATAGATCACTAATGAACAAACTGAAAAGAATGATTCTGAGGAATTTAAAAATGATTTCATCAATGTAAAAATTATCTTCCACAATCCCCTTTTAAAAACATTTTGTGTGTGCTAGTGTTTTCATTGAAAACTAGCGTCTCTATTGGTATTTCATAAATGATTATATAATTAAAAGCATTTACAAAAACCAAATAAAAATTCTACTGGCTTATTTTAAAATCACGTCGTTCTAGATCGGGGCAACTTTTTGCCAGTAATTGACTTGCTCTTTATATTAATATATTAGTCACACATAGCTCTGTGTAATTTTTATAAAATTGTGATGCTGTTTCTCTCTTGTCATCATATATATTATGCTGCAGTCTGAATTCCTTAAACATTCCAGAAAGCTTGTTCTTACATGCAGAGTTACCCTTGGAGGAGATTATTCATATTGTTAGTAGCTAAAAGGTACTTCAAGGACTTGAAAACAATATTAAGGTGCCCGTGACTTTATGAAATGATCTTATTTCTAAATATACTGACAAAATAAGGAGATATTATTATAAAGGGAATGAACTCCAGTCCATTTTTCTTTTATTTATTATTAGCTTAATGGAAAATTGACGGACTATTGAGCAGCTTGTTATATTAGTAATCTTTTTGGAGATTTCAGCTGGAAATGGTGCTTGTAATTTACACAAGAGTTAGAAATGCACAGTGAGTAATCATCAGTGACAGGGTAAATTGTATTTAACACATAGTTTTGTTTCCACGCTGTATATTTCAGTGAGGTTGATCTTTACCAGTTTATCTGGTAATTGATGCCACTTGAAAACATTCATGCCCGTAGCTTCAGTTTTAAAACCACAGGGCTGAAGTGTTTTTTCACAAAGATCTAAAACAGTCTCTCATGCTGCTTTCTATGTATTCTAAGCACAGTGTATGTGAAGATTTTTCATTTTTTATGTTTCACTGAAAGCCATATGTGAAATCATGCCTGTTGATTAGACAGTGTCTAAGACTACAGTGATTCAATATCACAGCATATATGAGCTCCACAATTAATTGACACCACTTATATTTGAATAACAAGATTCTGATATATTCTGAGATTTTGTTTGTTTCTTATTTAGTTGAATCCACATTATTTCTTCTAATTATCAACTATTATTAAACATAAGAATTACTAGTCACAGTTATGTTGCTTATTCCAAGAA